AGTTTCTTCAAAAGACAAGGAGAGCTTTCTCTATAATCAAACACATATTATACTCACAAATGAAACCAAACTTCTCCTATAGGTAGGGCAATATCCACTTTTGGTGTTGGTCAAAATTTCTTGAAACCCCCAAAATCTGGGTTAACCTGTTCTTCCTTAAAAGCGACATTTTCCCTTGACTATGGATGATCGCCTTAGACAGGTTAAATGCACTAAAGGTCTTATAAGTCTCTTTGTCGCTGTCTGTAACGTAACTTGCGTGGGTCAGTCTATCGAGATTCGCAGAGGGCTGATAAATTGTTGACTCCTATTATTGTTTCTTTTCTGTTCAATGTACTTCGCAATCAATTTCTTCCAACTCATGATCAATGAAGTTTATATTTTACCCTCTCCTACTTACTTTACTTTACAGGTTCTTTTCTTTTCTTAAACTTTTGAAATGTTTCAATCCTGTCTCACAAGCACCCATGAATTTTGGTTCAGTTCTTCGCCTTACACGCAAAATGCTTTGGCTTGATTCCCTAGTTGGAAAATGTTTTGTAAAGGGGCCTCCTTCAATTCACCGAGATGTGTCACTCTCAGGGGCGAGGTTGGCATTAAGAAAGAGTCAAAGAAGCCTTATTAAAAACATCAAGCATTATCAACCGGGAACAGAATAAACACTTCATTATTCATCATGTTATGCTTCTTGTTCTTCTTCACTTTTTTCAGTAGTTGGAAAATGCATCCTTTGATCTTCCTGCAATAACATACTATGGCTTTTGCCAATCTGGCTCCTGCCTGAGTTACTTTGTTCCAAGCAAGATTTCTATATCTAGTTTCCATCTTTATTCAGGTCTCCCCCTTCCTCTTTTGCTTTCTACCTTTATGTTATACAATCAGTTTTATTTTTTTCAATATGTATTCCTTGTCTTTAGTGTTCTCCTTTTATTCTGTTGCCTTTGACTCTTCATTCATTTAACATTCAAACTAGATACAAAAACTGATCTTTTCGAATACGATGCACGTTATGGTAACCCGTCAGATAAGAGGGGGGATAGAAGGATATTATACATGTATTTTACCAAGGGTGAGAAAAAAAATAAGACCCAGTGCAAAAGTGGAGTTAGAATGATTGGGATAGGGTTTTTCGGCTTTATGTTGTTGTTTTTTGGGTTGTTTTTTTTTTGGTGTGTTTATGTGTGTGACGGGTCGAGTTCACGATAGATCACTGTGATCGTCAAGATAGTCTACAAGATAGTCTGCACCTGAAAAGGTTTACTAAGGAATAGAAAGAAAAGAAGAGAAAACAAAAAAAAACAAGAGGAGGACCGAAGGTAAGGAGGTATACAGGAGAAGAATAGATGCAAAACTATCACGCCATCATAAGGTGCGCAACTCCACCTTCATTGGAAGGTGAGAGCCATACGCCACAGAGACATTGGCGTCGCCAAACTTTGCCTGTACGTTATGATGGCCTCTGTCCAGCTATCTTTCAAGTCTATCTGTCGATAAAGGGTCTTGTTTAGCAAAAATGAAACAAAATAAAGATAGAAAGAAAGCATGAAAGAAATATAAAAAGAAAGAAAGAAAGAAAGAAAGAAAGAAAGAAAGGAAGAAAGAAAGGAAGAAAGAAGAAAGAAAGAAAGAA